AAACTAGACCAATGCCAAAGATTTATAGGATGTACATAAAAGAAAATGCAAAGGGATGCAAAAGGATGGTTTAAGTCTTAATCTTCCAAGGATATTACGGTCTTAAATTAATATTTAATTTACATTCTCCACAATCAATTTTGCTGCATACATGATCCCATAAAATTGTCGTGCACTTTGTTAATTCAAGTTTAGAATGTTTTCCACTTGTTGTCCAAAAATCTTCTTCCTTATAACATTCGATGGAGTCTGGCAACAAAAATAATATTTTTTATTTTTTATAGTTTACCTCCACATTTAAAATTCATTATTAAGCAAAGAGTTAAAATATTAATTAATATCAATCCCATTTTAGATTATAATTATTTAAATTTAATTTAGAATAAATAATTTAGTTAAAAAATATTTTAATGCGAAAATAATCCTTTTTGAATGAATAATAATTTTTTAAAATTATAATTTTATCCATTAATCATTAAAAAGTAAATTTCAAAAAATAAATGTCAACATTCATTTGATCACCGGAAGAATAAAAGCTGAAATAATTTAAAAATTAATTAATTAAAAATCAGATTATACATTGATTATTTAAATTTTTTAAGCTAGAAGCCAGATTTCTTCCTTTTTCAACGCCGCATGCAAAAAATTTAAAAATGATGGAAAAATCATTAGTCGGAATATGCTTTAAAAATGTCGGAAATCGGAAAGAAAAAAACGTCGGAAATAGGAATTCCGACCACCTTTGTATTCAAGATACTGTATTTCTCAGGCTGGGAAAAAATGTTAGAAGGGGTTCAAGTTGTAATGGCTTGAGGTTTTATTTTGAGACAAAAATATTTACCATTAATTATCATGCTGATCAAGCAAAATATAAACATAATCTTTGTATTTAACAGAAAACCAATGGCAGAGTTACAGAGATCAGTATCACACTCATAACATTTGCATTGATTTTCCTCAAAGCCTAAGAGTTCATCAAGGCCATCATGTAATTTACAACCCCCACAATTTTTTTGCAAAGCCATATAAATTTTTTATTAAATATATTTCAAAATTTTAAGGATCCTATTCTTATAAGGATACCAAGATCTTAACATAAGCTATTAATTATTTAATTAACTAACATTCTCCACAATCAAATTTTACACATAATTAGCAAAATCTTCGGCATCGCACCGTTCTAAAGGTATTATATCACGTGCTCCAGTTTTATTAGCAAGATCTTCTTCAAAATAACATTCGATTGTGTCTGTTAACAAATAAAAATGTTCTTTTTCATGTTCTAAATTTACCTCCGGATTTAAAATTCATTGATAAGAGACTACCACACCCTTTGAGATAACCATCTGAAATTTTTGTATAAAAATTAATATCAAATTTTTGACGATATCATAACAATTTTAGATTTAAGGTTCATTGTAGAAGCTAGTATTGTAAACACTGTATTTAATTTTTAATAAACAAACATTTTCCGCAATCATTTTTTAAGCATTTTTTACCAAGGACATTAAAAGGAAATTTTTCAGTATTGCACTCTGCTGAACTCACTTTAACATGAATTCCATCTTTGTCAGTAGTATCTCTATCGGCGTAACAATCGAGCGATTCTGTTAACAAAAAATGATATTTGCTTTGTTAAGGTAATGAATCTTAATGAATTTAATACTCTCTTGCTGTCAGTAACCAGATCGATCGAATTCCAATTTCCACAGCTCCGATTACAGGCATCTTCGCGAAGGTAATCGAAGTCGCGCGAAAAAATCGAAGGTCGGTCGTTCGTCATTTCAGACCGACCTCTAGTAATACTAACAAGCAACATAGTCTTCACAGTTTTACTACCAGCAGCAAAGTCTAAGCTTAAGTATTTTGTGGTTTACTACTACGATGTCCCAAAAGTTCTCGCTGTTTCAAATGTAAATCACCTCCAGCTATTTTTTAAAATTCACCTCCAAATTCAAAATTCATCAAAAAGAAAAGCACTAAGAAATTTATTGATAAAAATCCCATTTTTAAATTTAGATTAAATAATTTTATTAAAAAATTTTTTTATTGAAAAATATATGAATGATTTAAATAAATTGAGAGAAGTTTTTGATAGGAAAAAATATTTTTTTGATGAATAACAAATTTTTTAAATTTTTAATCTGATAATGATTTTAATATACATACATATTAATCATTAAAAAGTAAAATTTTAAAAGTTAATAAATAAATAAAATTAATAGTAAATTAATGACGTTTATTATAGTATTGGATATCCATTATGGAACGGAATTTTTGAAAAGCCTGGACCTTTTCCTGAATTCTGGGTTTGATTTATTGACCCGGGCCGGATCCTGGGCCTGTAGTCCAGGAAAAATCCAGGCCAAGAAAAACCCCAGGAAAGTCTAAAAATGCCTGAAACTGGACTCTGGGTACAGGAAAAATCCAGACCTTGTTCCATGCCCAGCTCGATCTCTAATATCCATTCATTAGCAGTATTGACAAGTCTATCAGTTTTCAAATAAAGATAAATCTTTTATTTTCCGTTAAAAATATTTTTTGATACTTTGGTTATTTTATTTATCAATTACATCAAGATAACGCTTCTTTATTACATAGTTCTAGACAGCTGCCAAATATTCAGCGCCCAGTACCACTTCCGGTCCCGGTTCCTTTAGCTACCTTCTAAAAATTATTTTTATATGAAAATCTAAATTTTAAGTAGTCTCAAACGTCTTCGAAAAGCAGCCCTTGAGCAACCACAAAATGTAAAGCAATTATTAAAAGAACAAATAATTGGCTGAATTTCATTTCAGATTATAGAATTTTTGGAAGTACTTTGATGAATAAAGTAAAATTTTCGCCGCTTTTTATTCATCTAAATTGTTTGCCAATAGGACAGAAATTTTTAATGTTAAGAATTTTTGAGACAGGAAGTATAGTGAAAATTTTTTATTATGCCCAATAATTTTTAAATTTTTAATAAAAAAGGGATATAAAATTTTTTATTATTTATTTAACTGCTAATTTTAATAAAATTTAAAGGAAATTGAGGAATTAATAAAATATTTTTCAAATTGCCAACTCGGCATAATTCAAAAAGAAAAAATGTTTAAACTAGACATGGACACGGGTACTGATTTTGGTATCCGTATCCGGATATTTACGGCGGATACAAACGGAGATCCGCAGGCATTTTTAAGATATCTGTATCCATCTGTATCCGCATCCATGTACTATCTGTATCTGTATCCATGTCCTAGTCTGGTTTAAACATTAATTTTAAAAATTTTAAAATTAAAAAAAGCAATTGAAAAGCTTTAAAAATTATAAGTTAAAAATTAAACAGTGGAGATTATTTTCGTAAAAGAATTAACTAATAGTTTATTCTTAATATTTTTAAATTATACATATGAAAGCAGCAAAATAATTGCTGCCATTAAACAATAACCATTAATCAGCAAAATAATCAGGCAACTTATGAATATAATCTCCTCATATAAAGGAAAGCCAATGGCTGAATTACACAAATCAGTGTCGCACTCATAACAAGTACAATCATCCCCATAACCATTTAGCTTATCAATTAATCTAGTTAAATTGCAATTACCACAAGTTTTGGCATAGCCATCTAAAAATTCTTTTAAAAATTAATATTTTTTAGGAGGTATTTCGAATTATTTTTAAACAACTAACATTTTCCACAATCATTTTTTAAGCATTTATCATCAAAGGCATGATAAGGAAATTTTTTATTATTACATTCATGCCGCGACCCTATATGAAATGAAGTCCCAAATCAAATTTTTTCCATCTTCCTTTAAATGAGTAATTTTCTTTACATTTCTCTCTTTTTTTGTTTTGTGCCGTTTGGCTCTGAATGTAAAAGGACTAACTGAACGTGTGTGTTTGTGTGTTTATGACCGTGTGTGTCCGCTTCCCTGTCTGTGTCCGTCCGTGTTGTGACTGTCCGAGTTCGTCCGTGGAACCGGCAAAGGTCCGAACCGGTTCGGACAACTCGGGCAGACAAACACGGACGGACTCGGACAGTCAAAACACGAACTCGGACAAACAAAACACGGACGGACTCGGACGGACATAAACAGTGAAAACACGGACACACACGTTCAGTTAATCCTTTTGCATTCATAGACTTACGGCATAAATCAAAAATAGAGAGAAATGTAAAGAAAATTACTCATTTTAAGGAAGATGGATAAAATTTGATTTGGGACTTCATTTCATATAGAGCCCATGCCGCTTTGTTTTAGTATTCTTTCCTATTTTATCAGTAATATCTCTCTCGACGTAACATTTGATTGGTTCTGTTTAATAAAAAAATATTTTGATTTCGATTATTTATGCTATTCAACTCTGAATGGTAAAATGAACATCCTTTAACGAATTTAATATCCTCTTGATTTTATAATAGTAGTAAGAGGTTGGTCTGAATTCCTATTTCCGACAGTTCCGATTACAAGCACATTCGTGCAGAAACTCAAAGGTCGCGCGAAAAAACCGGAGGTCGTTCTGACGCCATTTTCGGGGCTGACCAATGTTAGTAACAAGCAACATAACCTTTGCATTTTTACTACAAGCAGGAGAGTGTAAGCTTAAGTATTTGAGGGTTTTCTGGATTAATAAAGATTCTAGTTCACCAATTTTTAATTCGATGGAAATGTGCCTTTATAGCTATTTAATTAATCTACCTCCAAATTTAAAATTCATCAATACGATAAGCGATAAAATATGAATTAATAACAATCCCATTTTTAAATTTAGACATATGATTTAGTTTAAAAATATTTCTGTTGGAAATAAAAGTATGATTCAACTACATATATGGAGATGCTTTAGCAGAAAAAAAATTTTTTTTGATGAATAATAATTTTATTAATTTTAATCTGATAATGGTTTCAATATACATATTAATCATTATAAAGAAAAATTTAAAAACTGATAAAATTTAATTTTTTCATTTAAATTTATTTTTAATCATTTCTTCAACATTTACTCTTTGAATTTGATTAGGTAATTATTTCTTTTTGGAAGGGTAAACTTGGCATCTCTCCTGACATTCCTTCTTAGTCTTGAAATTATTTCCATTACCTTTACAGCCACCATAGTCAAATTCCTATGGAATAGTTGAATGGAAAATCTCTCATAAAAAATTTCCAATTACCTTGCATTGACCCTTGTCGTACCACCAACGGGGGAATAAAGCTTCACAAGGTCCAGGGTCCTTTTCAAGCTGACACACATTCTTCTAAATTTTATCATTTAACTTTTTTCATCATAAAAATTGTTTAAAATGTATGAACAAACGTTGCATGTTTGTTGACATTCTTGAAGGGTTTCGAAATTATTATCGTTACCCTTACAACCGCCGTATTTGAATTCCTAAAATTAATATTTACATATTTCTCAAATTGTTTATCCTTCTGATTAACACTTTTCATGGTCCTTCCCAGGCTAAAAATGATTGGAGCCATAGAATATTGGCCTGAGACAAAGGAGAATGAAGGGGAGGTAGATAAAGTGGGGCTTATTCAAAGACAAGACTCCTCCTGCGCTCAAATCAACGTCAAGACCAGACCTGTGCATGGACACGGATTTTCGTATCCATATCCGGATATTTACGGCGGCTACAGGCGGATATCCGCAGGCATTTTGAACTCATCTGTATCCATATCCGTATCCATGCACAGGTCCGGTCAAGACATTCTAAGCATGGATTTTTCCTGGACTATAGCTAGTGTTGCACCCCGACCCCGCCCCGAAACAATTCGAAAACCCCGTACCCTGACACACCCGCCCTCGAGCTTTCGGGGTGCAACACCTCAATCATGTAATTTAAGGCTAGGTTAAAATTTCCATAAATTTTGATAACTTTCATATATCACCTTACATTCACCGTTATCATACCACCAACGTGGTATTGCAGCCTTACAAGGTCCAACAACTTTTTCAAGCTCACATATCTTTATTTTTTAGTTTAATAATATATTATTTGGCAAACTTTGCAAGTTTGTTGGCATTCTAATTTAGTTCTAAAATTGTTTTTGTTACCATCACAGCCGCCATAAGTGAAGTTCTGAAAATATAATGTTAAATTTTAACATTTTTGTGTGATTAACGGGGGAACAGATTCTCTTATTACCCGGAGAAAAAATGTCTTTTGGATCATAAACTATTCGGCATTGCAAGCGGAGTACAAAATTTAACGTAGTTATGAAAATTGAACGCATGAGTTTAACCATCATTCATAGCCTAAATTTATCTTGAGGTGGGATCTAGTTCAGAAAATACGATATATCAGGAATTGCCATGCTAAGTTCCCATGTCACATCGCGTTCAAAATTTTTTCAAGACAATCCCGTACACGTGATCGGGATTATTTTTTACCAACTCCTATTTTATAATATTTTACTCATATCCAACCTGGCATTTGCCTAACTTAATGTCATACCACCAACGTTCAAATAAAGCCAAACAAGGTCCAGTGACTTGTTCAAGTTTACAAATCTGTTAATTATATTAATAATTGCTAATTATTTAATTATATTAATCTGCTTTTACTTCAGGTATCCCATAATCATCACCAGTAACCATTAAAAATATTAAAAATAAGAATAAGACCCCAAATAATTTATTCATTTTATTAATTTTTAAAATTCACGAGAAGGAAAATAAAATTTATATTTAATTTTGAATGAATGAAATATTCAATTACACGTAGATTCAGCTTGTTTAGTCACACAAACACAAACAAAATTTTTTTAAATTTTTCCATTGCCTATTTTTCCATTTAAACTTGTCAAACAATTAGTTTTATTTCACAAATAATTTTTTTTATTAAAATGTAAACGCTCATTTCCTATATTTTCTTTATCATAAATTTCTCTTTCATCCAAATTTAAATCATAATAATTTTCGTCGTTTTCATCTTCCTCTGCGGCTACATCTTTTATTTCCTTTAAAAAATTTTTTTATTGAAAAAAAATTTTTTTTAATAGGAACAAACATTTTTGTTCCTCTTCTCCTTTATTTCAATTTTATAGAGTTGTGAAATTAATTTATTTAAATTTGTTTGTACATTATCTAAATATGAATAGATTTTACTATTTTTTAAATTTTATAAAAAAATTTTGATTAGGATCGTAAGGAAAGGAAATGAGAAAAAATTAAAAATACTTATTTTCATCTCAAGAGATGTTTTCTAGATTTTAAGATGATAGATATTGTATGTTATCTAAGTTATCCTTGGGAAGGCGAATTGAAAATAAACTGGTGCATATAAGCTCTAATGGAATAGACTTATGCAGATGACTTCTTCATTCATTCATCTTAGAGTATCTCATTCATACTTATGTTTTTTATTCCCCGCGATTCACCTATTTCATATATTCTGCGGAGTTCACACATGATTGCAACATGCGCGACTCTTATTACATCAATTCACAACAAAGCACTGGAGAACGGGACCAACCGCTTTACTATATGTAACCTAGCTGAAGATTTGTAGCAAAAATTATCCCAGAACTATCAGAGAGAGAGAGAACAAGATTTGTTTCTCGACTCGAGAATTGTCCTTAAAATCGTTGGATGTCTAATAAACTAAAAAACTTAATCATCTATCATCTACCGCCACTAAATATTATTTTCAGTATCTCACTCAAAAATTTCTTTAAAAAATTTATTTTACTTTTATCATAATCACTCGATTCTGCATTTATTTCATCCAAATCTTCAAATTCATTTGGATTAACCTCATTAATTTTAATTAAATTATTAGTATATTCTTTGTTATATTCACATTCTAAACATTCATTAATGCATAATTCGTTTATTGATGGATTCTAGGAATTAATTTCGAAAAATATTTTGTTCAAATTATTTTAGCTTACTGTACAAATCGAGCAGTAAGTTCCACGAACAATTTTGCATTGGAGCATGAGGTCGTCTTAATTTATCTTTAAAATATTAAGAGCAAGCTCAAGGATAGGTTTAAGGTCTACAATGTAGCTTTCTTTCTATTTGTAGTACCCAGCCCCGGCTTTTTTTTAATTCCCAGATTAGCGCCTACAGAGTAGAGTAAAAGAACAAACTGAGCACTAACAATTTTCGAATTTCCTCTACCTCGAACCTCTACTTTCTCTAGAACTCTCTCTACGGACTCTCTACGAACCTCTACGTACTACGAACCTCTACTAGCTCTAAAACTAATTTACTTAATCTAACACGAACCTCGAACCCCCCCCCCCTCTACGAATTTCCTCTACCCTGTGACTTCGCTTAAAAAAATTTTAAGGAAAAATACCCAAATTTTGAGGAACAATAGATGATTGACTTGAATATACACCTCTACTAATTCCTTGTAAACCTCTCCCGTTGCAATCTTGACATTCAAAAGGGCAAATTTCCTCTACACTTTTGTGCCCACAATGTGTGCAATATATTCCTTGTAGGTTTGGACAGAGTTTTTGAAGTTCACCTTATTTGATTTTTATTTTTTTAAACTTTTAGGACAAAATTTTAATAGTTTTTTGGTATGTTTACGATTATGGAGATTTATCACCTTAAGTAGAATCACCTGCTGCCCTATACGGGTTTTCCCTTTAAACTTTTCCCCTTAAGCTCTATCTTCAACCGTCAACTATTGTCGACACAGTCGTCAACTGTTGACACTCATGATACCCGTCTCTTTTAAAAATGTACTAATATTAGATCAAATGTACATTTGGCCGGGCAATTGACATTTGTCCTAATATTACATTCGGACATAAAAACTAATTTACCTAATTCGGCACTTTGCGAAACAACAAATTTATTTTTATAATTAGAATATAAATTGATTAAAAATAAATATTTAATTAAATAAAAATGGAAAAGCATTGTGATAAATGGAAAAATAATAATGGGAAAAAATTAAAAAATACAAACAAACAATTTCATCTCTTTGTTTAATTTTCAATGGATTTGGACAAAAATAGAAATTTATATTAAAAAAATAAAAATTAGACAAGACCTTGACAAAGTTGACGAGTTGACACAACGTTGAATACAACTCGACGACATTTGACGACAACGTTCACGAGTTCACGACAACGTTGACTACGACTCGACGACATTTGACGACAACGTTGACTACGACTCGACGACATTTGACGACAACGTTGACTACGACTCGACGACATTTGACGACATCGTTGACGTGACGACGTTGAATTGACGACGAGGTTTAAATTTTATTTAAATTTCAATTAAAAATTAATTAAATATTTTATGATTTTTCTATTTAATCCTTCTATTTTTATCTTTTCATTGTTTTTTATGTCTGTCTGTATATTTGAATTTAAATAAAAATAAATAAAATTATTTAAATCAGTTAGTTTAAAAATTTTGAGCCTTAATAAAACTCAATAGTACATGATATTATTAATGCAAATCGCACTAATATAAATATTCAACTTAATCTTCAAACAACAAATATTGTTCGACGATGGACCACACTGGCATGATTTTTATTGGTCCTATCGAATAAATCCCTGATTTATCCTTTCTAATAATTTTTTGTTATAGGATTATTTTTAAAAAAATCCGTTGGATTCGTTTTGTTCAAATCCAGAACCTTTATATGAAACCGCGTACAATTTTTCCGAAAGCCGGACGATTGAGAAATTTTTTGGAATTTCCCTACCTCCCAAAAATCCAATTTAGGTTTCCTGTTTATAAACAACTAGAGACCGGACTGAGAGCTTCGAAAAATATCGGCATATTTTTCGAGATATCGCTCTCAATATTTGAGATTCTTGTTCGAAATTTATACTCGGTCCGATCCCTATAAACAATCGTCAGTAGTTGTCCTAATAAATACCCGAGATGTCACGAGTTACCCTAAACACAACCCGAGGACCCCTAAAAACATACCCTAAACACAACCCCCATTCAAAAAATATTTTCTTAATAATGATTAAGCTAGAACAAAAATAAAAATTTATTTTCAAGAACAAAATGAGAAATATTTTGAGAAAATTACAAAATTATAAAATACTTAATGGGCAACACAGCAATAATAATAGACTAAATAATAAATTGCGTTATCTCTATTTCATTTTATTTTGTATTTCTTTAATTCTGTTGTACCCATTTTATCTTAAATTTGCGAATGATAAAAGCTTAATTTTGAGGGAAAAACCACTAAAAATTCCGCCAAATCCGAAGGTAAAATTTATTTTCTTAATTTTCTGAGGTATTAACTTTGGATATTCACTATATAAAATTAAAGTTTAAACTATGATGCCAGTCATATTTCGGGTTGATGAAACATACACCCTAAACCCGAAACATTTTTTCGGCCCAAATCCCAACATGAGAAATTTTCCGAAACCCGACCCTAGTTTTTTTTGAATTTTCCCTTACAAAATTTCGTAATAGTATTGTTTATTTCCTTATAATTTAAAATTTGAGATAATCATCGAAAAATAGATTAAACTTCGTCAATAGATTAAACTTCGTTCAAATTAAACAATCCAAAAAGAATTTCAATCAACTTTATTGAATCTATGATTGGGCTATTCTAAGATTTACCCAGATCTCTCGTTCTAAAATCTCGGTTATTATAATTAATCCCCAATTTAAAACGACCCTCGTATCTAGTCTCTAATTAAGCGTTTTATGTATGTATATATGAAATGTTCCCAAACCCCGTCAATTTTATTCAATCTAGAAAATGATACGGAATAGGAGATAATCATTAATAAAAAATCCTTCTAGTTTAAACCAATTATTCTTGGATGGAATACTATTTACACATATGATAATGTAGTAGCTATGTTAACTGGAATGTTTAATACTAATGAATGTCCTTATGAATGTGAATATTCAACGGATAAAAATAAGTATGTAAATCCTCTTTATGAACTTTTTAGATAAAAAAGGGGGGTTTAAAATTTCACAGGGTTCTAAAAAATTCTTTTAAAGATACTTAAATGCGTCTGCTATTGTCTACTATATTCGGTCCGAGCATTTAGACTTGCCTAAAATAAGATTACCAAATCAACTATATGTCTTCTGTTTGGACGAACCTCCACATTATACTTTTGAGTTTTTCAAGGTTCTAGAAAAATTCTTAATAAAAAATAATATCTTTATAAGGATGTCTCTCCAAATTTTTTCAACATTTCAATGACCTATCGTTTAGACAGCGATATTTATTACCCCTATGATACTTTTGTTCCTTGTAATGGTGAATGCCAATTAGATGAATATTGGAGTGAAAAAGAGGTGAAAAAAATTTTTTTGAAAATTTAATGGAAAAAATTTTCAAGGTAATGGAAAATGTAATAAGAAAAACTGGATTAGCAATGCAAGTTAACTCAGATTGCGGTTAAAATTTTATTAAATAAAATTTAAAAAATGAGAATAATAAGTATGATATAAATTGATATGATTAGTATCTGGCAGAATCATTCTCCAGGTCCGGAAACTTGATTTTAGTACTCATGCCGGACTGGAGGAAGAGGTCTAGAATAGATGAGCTATGTATATGCCATAGGATTATAAAAAGTTTATGGAATAATATAGAGTCTGCTCTTCATTATTCCATAGACTGGGGGATTTGATGATTCCAAAAGAATCTAATGGATTATGAAATTAGTCATTTTATTTTAAAGACGATCCGGTATCTATGAAATGATTAATCCTTCTGAATACTTTTACAGCCTCTCGCTTTTCCACATAAATTTTAAAGAAAATAAAAAAATTTTCAATTTCTAAAGATACTCCCTCCAAAAGAGAAACTCTTGTTCAAGAATTACGCAAGCTAATTAAAATTGATCTATACGGAAAATGCGTCCGTGGGGCCAATTGTGATTTTGAATATTGTTATAATCGAGAATTGGGTAAAAATGAAAATAATTTTTATCTGAAAATATTTTATAGAAAATCACATGTTTTATTTGGCATTTGAAAATGCCGTCTGTAAGGGATATGTCACAGAAAAATTTTGGAATTTAAAACATTTAATTGTTCCTGTTGTTCTTACTAGACGAATTTTTGATAAATGGAAGGTGCCTGACAGTGCTTATATTGCTGTAGATGATTTTAAAAATATTACAGAATTGGCTGATTATTTGCTTTATTTACAGAGAAATAGAACCGAATATTTAAAGTAAGAAACATAATTAATCCCAGAATGTTATCTAAGGACAGATCACCGTAGTGCGTTCGAAGTACCTCGCAACCTTCATGAGTAACTATCTCCAACATGATCCGTACTGGCATAAAATTATATTGTATTATGAACCCTTTGTGGTATCATATTTTAATATGTGATACTAAGTTATCTGTCCGGAATTGACACAGATATCTTTTCACAGATGCCTTACCGTATAACCTGTATTAATTGCCCTCCCTCAAATAATTAAACCACCTCCATTAATTACTCCATCCAGCGATGGATTGAACCAATAATCACCTCCCCCCCCCCCAACAAATGCTCTAAAACACTTTCAGCTACTCTCCCTCGATTAATTACTCTTAATTAATTACTCCCTCCAGCAGAAGGTCGAAAAAATAATTACCCCGGGTTGTTATTAAAGGATATACGGTATACAATGATGTAAGTGTCCATCCCTTTCATTGTCATTTTTATTCTTGAATAAATAAATAAAATTGCCATAAGTAAATATTGTTATAGCTTAATGCTGGAGGCGATAATTATTACAGAATTTTTATCATAAAAATTTCAGATATTTTGAATGGACAAAAACATATCGTAAAACCAATTATCACGTTCTACACAAAAAACTAGAACGAAAATACCACCAAGCATTTATCCTCTCTCAAAACGGCACATATGCTCCAACATACAACCCTTTATGTAATTTGTGTGAATTATTACATCAACAACATGGAAAGGGGCATCCCAAATTAATTATTCCGGATATTTGGAAATTTTGGAAAGGACCTGATATTTGTATAGAAAATTGGGTAGATTTATATTTAAAAGGAAAACATAAAGAAGCTTTTGATAAAGCTAATTGGCCAGAACAAAATTAAATTAAAATAATTTTAGTTGATAATAAATTAGTATTAGCGATATGTATTAGCGGTATTTTTTGCTGACTTTAATATTCACTGATCAGGTTTTGGAAAAGGAAAAGATAATTCAGACGCCTAATTACCTTGGAAAAAGTTGAAAATTTAGAAGAATTTCCAAAACCTGAGAAAACATGAAAGAACAAGGTAAAGCTATAAAAGCTCCGAAATGTTTTAAAAAATTTCGAAATACTTAAGACATCGGAGAACCTTAAATTCGTTGGAATGTAGCAGAATCCTCTATCCGAAAACTCCGAGACCTTCTTTCAGCAGCCTGAAGGCTTAGGCTTTATTAAATGAAAAATCTTTGTGTATCAGGGATCTTGCCGTATTAGAAAATAAATTTTCGGTTTTCGGGAATTAAGACGACACAAATATTTAGAAAACAGCAAAAAATAACAATTTTTTATTAAATTATTTTCGTATTCCTATTCAACACGTACATAATAATGACAGATATTTTTTATTATTATCTTTTAATATTGCTATTTATTTTTAAATTAAATAAATTTATTTTTAAATAAACAAAAATTTAAAATTTTATTCGATTAAAAAGTACTTTAAAGCATTTTATCAACGCCATTTTATTTTTATTTCTCTAAAAAATGATTAAGAAAATTGGTGTCATAAAGAGGAATTTTTTAAAAGGTTTGTATATTTTTCAGAAAAAAAATTTAATAAATGAATAATCATTTAAATAACATTAAATATTTAAAAGGCTTTTTTCTTTATTTTAAAATTTAAAAATATTCACTTTATTCGCTTTTTTAAATTTCAAAATTTTTTGAGAATTCTGTAAAAAATACTAGCATATTTTAAAGTGAATTTTCGTTTTTAAATAACTGAAACGTTCCTCAATCCCCCTCAGTTTTGAGATTTTATTTAAAAGATTGTTCAAGGTTGGGACGGTTTGGAAGAAGGCCGGGTTGAGTTTCAGATCGGGTTTTCTCAGTTTTCTTCGGATCGGGTATTGGATCCAGTGTTAGACGAGTTAGGTTCGTGTTCATTCCCTCCTCCATGATAAGAAGAAATCCCTCAGGTTCATGATCGGTCAGGGTGCATGATCGGAAGAATTCACTGATCGGCAACTAGAATCTCTCAAATGTGGAGGAATCCATGTTTCTGTTGGTTATATGAAGGAAGCTTTTCCTTAAATAGAAATTAATTTTTTCCTTTAAATTATTATTTTGAATAAATTCAAAGCTAAATTAATGCTTGAATACTTGATTTTTATTTTATTATTTGCTGCATTCACTAATGCTGCTCATGTAGTTTACATAAATGATGGATATAATGTTGATAGTGCAGGTAGTTTTATAAATTTTTAGTAAATGGGTTCACAAAGTCAGAACGAGTTCTAACACTCGTGTTTGATTGCTAGGGATTTGGTGATAGCTAGGACTCGTTTTAAGGCCCAGTATCATCTCGACTTTTCCCTTCTTAATACTCGAATCAGTCTAATAATAATTGAAATTTTAATATTAACTAGGGGTAGACACAGCCTATACCGCTACTCCCCGTTTTTGTCCAGCACCGGTTTCGACTAAATTTTTTATAATAATACGTATTATTTTTAGAAGTGCCACTTTTTCCAAACAAATATCTCTACAATAAAGGTATAAAAAATTATCTTAATTTTCCTAATTTTATAATTTAATAAGTATTTCTAAAACTATTTTAAGCTTATTACCACAATAATCCAGGGAGCTATTTAACATACCCAAAACCATATGCCTACAAAAAAGAAAACACTTATGACACAGGTAAAATTTTAAAAATTATTCTAAAAGTTTTTAAATTTTAATGTAAGGTGCCTATAAAGAAAATGGCGGGACTGCGTGTAAGTGAAAAAAATTCAAAAATTTTTAACATTTATTTTGATATTAATTAAAATAAATTGTTAGATAATGCCAATTATAAGAAGCCAACAAGCTACAATTATGAAAAGAAGGATGAATATAAAAAACCTGAAGAAAACTATGAAAAGCCAACCTATGAAAAGCCAGCCTATGAGAAAAAAGATAACTACGAAAAGACTAATGAAGGATACAATAAAGAAGGATATGGAGATAATAAAGGATATGATAAAGAAGGGTATGAGAAGGGATATGGGGATAATGGGGGGTATGCAGGAAATGAAGGATATGAGAAAGGATATGGAGAAAAAGAAGGATATAATAAAGAAAGCTATGGGGATAATGAGGGGTATGATAAAGGTTATGGATATAATGAAGGATATAATGAAGAAAAAGGATATGGAGGTTATGACGAAGGGTATGAAGGGAAGAGTTATGAAGATAATAAAGGCTATAAAAAGAAGAAATATCGAGGTCATAAAATACGATATGGAGGTTATGGGGGATATAATGGTCACGAGAAATATGGATCCTCTTCCTCAGAAAGTGATGATTACATATACCTTCGCAACTATAAATTTCCTCATTACTACGGAAACTATATGAATTATATGGTAGTTTTGATTTGCTATAATTAAATTAATAATTAAATTAAAGCAACCAGGTATGTATTATAATAGGCCAATATACTACTATACTACTACTTCTACAACGACAACAACTACTACAACAACACCGACAACGACAACAGAGGAAACAACCACCACATCCGAGGATACAACCACACAAGAGGAAACAACCCCAACGCCTGAAGATACAACCACACAAGGGGAAACAACTCCCACACCAGAGGATACAACCCCCACGCCTGAGGACACAACTCCAACGCCTGAAGATACAACCACACAAGAAGAAACAACCCCAACGCCTGAAGATACAACCACTCAAGAAGAAACAACTCCTACTCCAGAAGACACAACCCCAACGCCTGAAGATACAACCACACCAGAGGAAACAACTCTGCTGCCTGAAGACACAACTCCCCCACAGGAGGATACAACCCCGCCCGCTGAGGACACAACTCCGCCGTCTGAAGACACAACTCCCGCATCAGAAGATACAACCCCGCCCGCTGAGGACACAACTCCGCCGTCTGAAGAAACAACAGAATCAACGAGTGATGGAACAATAGAGACTAACAGCGAGGAGACTTCGACAATTACTCCAGGAAGTGGTAAAATTATAACTTAAACCTAAAGGGCGTACCATATGTAAACTATTCTTCAAGTGAAACTTAGTTATAAATATTCATAAAAATTTAGATGCTACACCAGTTTCTGATGAAACTCGTACTGATCTTACAACCCTGATTACACCAGTTTCTGATGAAACTCGTACTGATCTTACAACTCCAATTGGAACAGAAGGGTTTATAATTTTCCATTAAGAGATTATTATACTAAATTTTATTTAGTACCCCGCCAACACCAAAGCCTCCATGTCCTCCAGATTACGAATTCTTTAAAGAAGGAAATTGTTGCATTCTAATTTCCTCGCCAGAGAAGAAACCATTAACCTGGAAAGAAGCCAGTGACGAAGCGAAGAAGAACGGAGCTCTAATGGCTTCCATTCATTTCAAAAAGGAGGATGATTTTATAAGAAGTAAAATTATGGTTAAACTTTGGTTAAAATTAAATTAAAAATTAGATCTTGTGGAGAAACAACCAAAAGGACAGGGTAAAGACAACCCTGTCTACTTTACTGGATTACAAGTAAATGCCACAAATGGAAAGATTGACAAGTTCGCGTGGTCTGACAATACTCGTGTAAACTATGGAAGTCCGAAAGATATAAAAGTGATTTGCTTTAAAAAATAATTTTGGCAATATTTTTAGCCGAATACTGATCCTTGGGGACCAAAAACTACATTTAATGGAAATAATGGATTTGGTGGAATTTCAAAGGACCCGAGCGGAAAGGCATCTTGGGGTCTTTATGATCCGAATCAAAAGGGAGGTTATGTGTGGAAGGTAGAGAAACCTGATTCTTGTAGAAATATATAATTTAATATAAGATTGACTTGTCTAAAAAAGATGGTGGAACCAAAGGCCCAGAACCAGGCACTCCAACAGGAGGAGTTGGCCCAGTAGGGAATAGTAAGTAGTTCCTTAGGCTTACAATACTTGACTAATTTAAATTTAAAGATGGATTGCCAGCCGGTTTCAAATGCACTACCGGATGTAATCCGTCTTCTATAAAATTGAAGGCAGAAAAGGGGCAACCAAGTCCGGTAGATGAAGGACCTGAAGAAAAAAATGGTTGCCAAACTGATGTGTTGAGTTGTACAACAAATCAACCGATTGCCACCATAACGGTTTAGGGAAAAAAATTTTTCTAATTAAAAAAATAATTTTTTCCTGATAGTTTGGAACCAATGGAAGTCTTAAAGCCAATAATTTTGATAAAAAAAATGTGAGAGCCAAACTTATATGTGCTAATGAGGAGGCAACGGGGAAGAAAGGATGGGTTAGAAATGGGGTAATTAATAATCCGAAATTGTTCTTCGTTGAGGAGGTAAAATGGGGAAAAAGAAAATTTAATTATTTTTCCGTTTTAAGGCACATTGTGAACAACAGTCAAGTTAAATAGAAATTTCTTGATTAAATGTGAATTTTGACAATATTTTTAAATAAATTTTATAAAATTTAAGTAAATTTATTTTTCAATTTTTTCATTGACCTTTGATTATTTATTATGTTAAAAAGCAATACATATCTCATAAGATAATTTTTAAAACTTTCCCGATTTTTTTTAGTCTTTTTCGAACTTAATTCAAAATACAACATAGAAATTCAAAATACAACTGTTAACTTTATTTTGCAGACTTCTAGTCAATTTATAAAGTCGGGATTTTCATCGGGATCTGATGCACATCCCGATCCCGATCCCGGATCCCGGCTCGGGATTGAGATTGGCCGGGATCGGGATCGGGATATATATTTCGGGAGCGGGATCAGAAAAATCGGGATCGGGATTTGAAAAACCCGGGATAATCCCGCCCGATCCCGACCGGGATCCCGATCCCGCTGAACTCTACTATACATACTTGACTGATTTAAATTTAAAGATGGATTACCAGCCGGATTCAAATGCACTACTGGATGTAATCCATCTTCAATAAAATTGAAGGCAGAAAAGGGGCAACCAAGTCCGGTTGATGAAGGACCCGAAGAAAAAAATGGGTGCCAAACTGATGTGTTGAGTTGTAAAACAAATCAACCGATTGCCACTATAACGGTTTAGGAAAAAAATTTTTTTAGTAAAAAAATAATTTTTTAACAGTTTGGAACTAAAGGAAGTGTTCAATCCAATAATTTTGGTAAAAAACATGTGAGAGTTAAAGTGATTTGTGCTAATGAAGTGGCAACGGGGAAGAAAGGATGGATTAGAAATGGGGTAGATAATAATCCAAAATTATTCTTCGTTGAGGAGGTAAAGTGAGAGAAAAATATTTAAATAATTTTTAATTTCAGGCACATTGTGAACAGTCGAGTTGAATAAAAATCGCTTGATTAAATATTAATTTCGATAATTTTTTTAAATAATCTATAATAAAATTTATAGTAAATTTATTCTTCAATTTTTTCATTGAACTTTGATTATTTCTTGAGGTAAAAATCAACACATATCTCCCTAGATTAAAAAAAATTTTCCGATTTCTTTTGGGAATTTTTTGAATTTACTTTAATACGACAGAAAATTTTCTTTTGAATATCCTTCATAAATCGAGGAAAAAATTTATTTTTGAGGAGCAAGGGAAAATTCCCCAAAATTATTTAATTTGCCTTCGATAATGTTTTAAATAAAAATGAGGGAACCACATGAAGAATTGAGGAGGAAAAAAATTTGCCTCATTCCTTTGAAGATGGATCAACTGAAATTGCCATACTCTATATTTTAAACCAAAATATTCCCCTCATATTTTCCCATATTTTATTCAAAATTAATCTGTCTATTGATAAAGAGAAGTTTGGAAAAAATTTAAAATTTGCCCCGCCCTCTTTGAATGCCAAATATGTATAAAGAAAGTATGTATAAGTGTCTCCTTTTTTATTATTTTACTATTTCATTTTTAATTTATACAATTTCTAAATTTTAGAAAACAAAGTCTCTCTTTAATCTATAATAATTTTTGATATTTTTTTGAAATTTATTTGTAAAATTTTGATTAATTTCCCTTTGATTTAAGTTCATACTGGCCTTTTATCCCCCCCTCCCCCAACCCCTTAACTGATCAAAATGTTAACTTATTAAATTCCTGTACGAAGGGACATGGAAATACACTAAAAGATAACGAAAACTCAAAATTCTCGACTTATCAATAAAAACTCGCGGATAGATAAGGTTCCAAAAATGCCTTTATTTAAAAATTTAGTTTTTATCATTGTATCAAATTTTTTTTTATAATTTTATCAATTTGTCAAAAATTCTGATTTTTTGGAATATTGTATTTTATTTAATTCTCCATCCAGTGATGAACCGTACCTTTGATAACTATAATATTAACACTAGACATTCTGTCGCGAGCCACATAATCACCTTTTAATCTTACTGTATTTCCTCATGTCTCAATACCCAAATTCATATATCAAAGATTTTCTTCTAATCCGACTTAAATTTTTTCGTTTATAGTTGAAATTTTTAATGATAAATTTTGAAATATGAACGGAACTGAAGAAGATTCGTTTGATTTTCCTGAAGTTATGGAAAAGGAGAATTGTCTGCCAATTTCTAATTCTTCAACAACTTCATCCATTTTTGGAGTATTTTTTAATCTACTAATTTTCTTTTTTTGGAGTAATAACCTTCCCTTTTATTCAGACTCTGACAAGTGCTCCTTTGTTTCAAAGCTCTTCTCAGCAATCAGCTGAGAAAATACAAAAACCTGAACTTTTGAAATGGTCCTTTTTCTTTTTTAATTTTTAAAAATTTATTTCAAATAGCTCTCATTATTTACAAAATAGTGGAGGTCGTGCCATTTCTCCAATTGCTGAAGCATTTCGAGAAGAGTTGGATAACAAGGGCAGTCCAAGTGACAAAATTGTTCAAAATTTGGTTACTCGATTTGAAAATTTGTTTGACGTAAAAATTTATTTATTTTTCATTTTATTTCGAAATATTTTAAAGTATTTTGAACGAAAACAACACCAATTAAATGCAAATTGGGAAAATTTCCATAAAGAGATGGCTAAGTTTAATGGAACTTATATGGTTTGGGTACTCTTTTTTAAGCCACGCCCTTTTTTCCTTTTCCATCATCAATCAACCTTAATATGGACAGAATGGTCAGCCTTTCTTTCTTCCTCGATTTCACTCAATTTTACCTGTGGCATGTTTAATGAGTGACATAAACAAAGAAAAGATTAGTTTTTCTTTCCAATGTCATCCAAATAAAAATTAACATTTGAATCAATATTCTTATTTTCATCTATTTCTGTTATTTAAATGTCAATAAGTACCTGGGTTTGTGTTTTAGAACTAATGGACCGGTAATTTTGACCATTTCAACCCTTTTTAGACATTTTTGGACCCTTGTAACTCAGCTCAGAGATGTTATCACGGACCGATTCTGGTCTATTTATTCATTGACATCTTAAAAAATTGTAGATCTTAAATAGGGTTGGGGGCCGATCTGGCCCGTTCCGATAAAATTGTGGCCCAAAAAATGACTCGAACGTCGGCCCGACTCGAAAACCCACAGCCCTAATCTTAAACAGAAATTGACCTCAGCTGAATTGATTGATGGGTGAGAAAGAAAATGAGAGAGAGAAAATGAGTTAAGAATAATGATGGAAAAGGAAAAAAAGGGCGTGGCTAAAAAAAAGAGTACCCAAACCATATAAGTTCCAGTTTAATCAACAAAAAATCCATGAATGGGCAAAAATAGAAGATATTCAGTTTGTTCTCCAACGTGATGAATATAATGCAAAGGCAGAAAGGGAATCTACTAGAGTTAAAGAGTTGGAACTAGAGGTGTAGTTAAAATTTGATCAAAATTATTACATTTATTTAAAGCTAATACATGCACAAATTAAATTATTGGAAGAAAAAGTAGATGCCTTTGGAAAATCATTTAAGGAGGATAATACAAAAATTAAAGATTTTAGCGAAATTTTGGACGGTTCAGAGGTTTTTAAGGAATTTTACTCAAAATTTATATGCTTAATTTCTAGCATTCCTGTTCCCAATTTGTTGATAAGCCTGAAAGTTTATTTAATTCTCTTGCACAAATTTCATTAAATCAAAAATTTGAATTACCATCTGAAATGGTCGATTTTAAAATTTTCTTTTTTAATTATTTTTAAAAAGGTGAATACAATGTATAAGTTGACTGATCGTGGGAAAGAATTTACATTCAAAAATGGAGATGAAGAAGTTGTTGTTGTTGAACTCTCTGGATGTGGTCATCAGTATTGTCTCTTATATGAATATAAATTATTTGGTGATAATGAGCATTCAGAGAAGCATAGCTCCAAAAATTTTCGTTGGACAACAGTTCCAATATTGCCAATAAACAATTCTGATATAAACAAAAACAAAATTGAAGTAAATTTTAAAAATTAAAATTTTTAATAGCTTCCACATTTCCTTTCCTCTAAATTCTCTCATATACATTTTGGCAATTAAAATTAAAAACTTTAATTTCTAATGAAAATTTTAAAATACTTTAATTATCTTTTGCAGATTATATTTCAAAAAAATTTTTATCAAATAATCACTACAAACGGTAATATTATTAAATTTTGTCTTTCTGGTAGTTTGGAAGTATCCTGGAATAGTGGTGACCAGACGATAATACTACCAGATGGGGAAAGATATGAATTTTTTGATCAAGAAACGCCTGATCTTAATATGGAATTGTTTGTTTTTATTTTTCATTTTTAAAATATTTAATATTTGAAGCTATCTTTCAAACGGAAAAGCACTTCGTTCAAATCGTTCAACTAAATGGCATAAAGAAGAATTTATTCCAAACACGTTTAAAATGTGTGTTCGGCGGGATGGGTCTTATTCTGCTTTGTGCAATAAGGTAATAAATTTTGTCTTTATTAACGCTTACCGTATTTCTCTATTAATTACCCTCCCTCAAATGATTACCCATCCTCTAATATTTACCCCCTCCAGCGAAAGTTTGAAACAAGTACTCCCTTAAAACTAGTTATAATTGGCCTTCCTAACTTAACCTCTAAACCCCGCCTCTATCAATTACCCCCTCCAAAGAGAGGTCGAAACAATAATTACCCAGAGTAATTAATATAACGTAATCTTCGTTTCTATCTTTAATAAATTCATTTATTTTTTAGCTCAATACAGAATCAACACCTTTAAATTCTGCTTACTTACAAATAAATGCACCAGACTTTAAAGTTTTTAATAAATTCTTTTCTTTAATTATTTTTTAAAGCTTCGACGGTTTAATGCAACAAAGGCAGTTAAAATAGTAATACCAGTGGACTCCTTTCCTGGTGCCAGTTTAGAATTTGCGCTCTGTATTGACAATGCCCTTGTTGTTAAACATGTCTATAAGGACAAAGGAATTTGTGGACAAAACAAACATGGTAATTTCTCAAAAATTAATATTAACTAAA